TGAATTCCGCCTGCGGGGGCATCGCTGCGGGCTTCGCCCCGAGCCCCGTCCGCGTGTGCCCGGCCTGAGCGCGGGCGCCGGCCCCTGCGCGCGCTCCGGGAGCAGCGGGACGCGAGCGCAGGGGGCTCCTGTGCGGGGAGTTTGCTCAGGAATCAGGGATTCTCCCCAGTGTGCAGCTGCAGTTTGTGTTGTGCGGCGTCTTTGACGTTAAAGGAAATGCATTTTCTGCCTGCTGATACGGGGTTTGCTGGGGGGGGTGTGTTTTTTCTCCAGTATTTACGATCTGGCATTCAAACCGGATGGGACTCAGTTGATAATTGCTGCTGGAAACAGGCTGCTGGTAGGGAAACGTTTTTTTCCTCTTGTAGCTACAGCTGTTTGAATAGGATTTCTTTCGCATTAACTTATGAATATAGAATGGTTAGGGTTGGAAGGGACCTCAAAGATCATCTAGATCAAAGATCATATAACCTGTTAGCAATCCTCTTATCTCTACTAGTCCAGCCTCATATCTACATATATTGATGTGGGCTAACTGCAAAGTGTTTTGAAGCTTTTTAATGTTTCTTACCAAGTTTTAAGCTCTATTTCCACAAGTAATGAGATTTAAGTTACGTGCATCACCTCGTCCTTTTGCACCTCATGTGGTGTTTGAAATCCACTGACCTGCATCCAGACTTGGTGCAATGGCATGATATACAAGTACTGTGTTGTTACAAGTTGCATTACAATTTCTGTGAAAAGGGGAAAGAAACCTGAATCAATGTCCCCACTTTGTGAGAAGCTTCAACCAGAGCTTTTCCCTTCTCCGAGTCCCCTTGCCTGCTGCTAACCCACCAGCAAAAGCGGCTCAGGACCACGCTCCTCACATTCCTGCAAGGCTTTTGGATGGGGCAGGTGTAGAAACAGCAGGGGTGGATGGGTGGACGGACGGACGGATGGACAGCATGATTCTAGAGGTGTAGCTCAGCGAGCTTTGTTAATTCTCAGTGTTTGCAGAATGGGACATGTACTGATGGCCCTTTCCAATAGTTCACTATGTTTAAATGTCTAATGCAGAGAATGGAGTAAAACAAGCTGGCCAAGTGAGCTGTTTGGAAAGGTCTTTTGTGCGTGTAATTGTCTGAGTCTTCTTTCATTCCCAGTGTTGGAAGAGAAGTGTTACATTCAGAAAAGCTGCTTCTGCACTTTTAAAATGTTTTGTCTTGCACGGACTGTATGCTATGCAAAAAAGCAAAGACAAAAGAAAGTATAATCTTGCTGGCCTTCAGTAATTCTATAGCCTAGTCCTCACTGGGGGATTTTTTTATATGTGTTTTTTTTGTTTGTATGCTCGGTTTTGTTTTGTGTTTTTCCCCCACTGTTTAAATAGGTGTATGATACTTCCGATGGAACCTTAATTCAGCCTTTGAAAGGACACAAGGACACTGTGTACTGTGTGGCTTACGCTAAAGATGGTAAATATCACTTTGGGGGGCGGTCTTGGTCTGGTTTGTGAAGTGCACATCTCCCACTTCTTACTGCCAGTTGATAAATAGAGAAGTTGGGGTTTCGGTAACGGTGTTTTGAACACGTGTGTGAGTGCTGGTGTTTTGCTTGTTACTGGGGAGTTTGAGCTGCTCTGCAGATGCTGCAGGCACAAGTACCACGTTCTTACGTGTAAGGCTCCCTGTTAACTCAAGAGCTGTGGCCCCCACTGCCCCTTCTGCTTCAGTGGTGGTGAGGTTTGGATCTGTGGGGTAATACGAGGAGAAGGCTGACCTTGGAGGTCCCTCTTTCTAGTACTCCACCTGCCTCTAATGTTCATTCCCGTAGTTCCTCTGTCCCAGAGCTTCCCAGTCTTCTGATCCTTCGCACATTACTGTGCTCACTACAGACCTTCCTCTGCTTCCAGTTCTTTCATCATCTCCAATTCCCATTCTGTGGGGACTGTCTGTGGACTCCGAGGACTTCCTCTCCAATACTGCTGTTCAAGTTACAGGGAATACCTGTGAGAATGTGCCGTTTTGCCCCAACACTGTTAACATAAATGTCCAAACTGGGACTGGCAGTGCTGGAGTGACTGGCCTCGTGCCTGCTTTGGTGGGCTTCCAATGAGTTGTGCTCTGTGCCAATAATGAAATAAAGTCGTCGGCGCCTCGTGTAGCTGGAGAAGCGCAGTCCCATCGCGACGCCTGCAGTGTTGGGCCCTTTGTTACATGAGCCTTGTCGAGCTCAAGAACTTCGTGCTCTCTCTTTGATTGAGTATTTGGTGTGAAAGTGATTCTCCTATGCGTGGGATTTAAATTATATTTCGTTCCTAGGCAAACGTTTCGCATCTGGCTCGGCTGATAAAAGTGTGATAATTTGGACTGCCAAGTTAGAAGGAATTCTGAAATACACGTGAGTGATGCCTTTAATTCTGTGCCTCTCGGAAGCGGGCTTCGATTGTGCAGTTCTGCTGTCAAAGAGCACGTGCCGATAGACTCGGAAGGTCAGCTGAGGTCAGAGGACGTGCTAGTGAGTGGGGAACAGCCGAAGCATCTGAATGAGGCAGGAAAGCAATTAAAGGTGTAAAAGAGGGCAGGAAGTCTAGATGAATCTCTGAATTCACAGGGCTGGCAGGGAGCTGGGGAAACTCTGTATAGATAGAAATAAAATGAAACAATATCACTGCTCTTGTGGAATGAACAAAATTAAAATAAGTCTGGTTCAAAGACCAAAATAAGCTTTGGTACTTTCAGTATCTTTCCATATTTCTTCTGGCTTTGTTTTTCTGTCATCCCTCCTAAGCGACCGCTTCAAATTTGCTTTCTGAATGTGTGTGTGCGTTTGCCACTAGTCATTGTGCACACTAGTGTACTGCTGGGAGAACACACGAGCTTACTCGTTCTAGAATTTGGATACAACCTTTAACCATGTTTCACAAGCCACCCTCCACGTATGTTTTTAGCTAATCTTGATGAAATACAGTGAATCCTGCCACTTAGAGACAATTTTTTTTAAGGTTTATTACTGATTCAGTTTATACAACCTTTAACCATGTTTCACAAGCCACCATCAACGTATGTTTTTAGCTAATCTTGATGAAATGCAGTGGATCCTGCCACTTAGAGACAATTTTTTTTTAAGGTTTGTTACTGATTCAGTTGACAGTAATTGCAGATTAATTTGATGTAATATAAACTGGTGAAATTATTTCTGGCATCTGGTAAACCTTTCAGCTATCCTGCTGATTTTTGAAAAGGGGGCATGCAAGAATGATTTATTGAAACATGATTTTAACTTCGTTGCAGGCATAATGACGCTATACAGTGCGTTTCCTACAATCCTCTTACTCACCAGTTGGCATCCTGCTCTTCCAGTGATTTTGGTATGTCTTCTTCCTCTAACTTCTCCCTTAAGCCAGTAAAGTCTGTTCAAGTTGTATAGCTAAGCTAACTGCAGATAAGGACAGTTCTCTATATCCAGAAAAGATGAGGTTCAAAGCTACCTAAAGTTATTTAAATCACTTCAACTCAGCGGGAAAGGACTATGTAGTGAGGTGCCAAGGGTAAAACACTACTTTCTTAGTGTGATCCTTTGCAGAGACACTCTCTGTGTTATTAAGATGCATTTTTTTTCCCATTTACTGATAAATAATACATATTTAAATGTTCTTCTGGCAGTGGATAAGACTTTGATCCCTCTGAAGTCCCGACTGAGTTTTCTGACAATATTACTTTCTAATCTAAACACTGGTAAATGCTTTCTTGTAATTTACTTTGGCTTTTTGTTTGCTTTAATCAAGGCTTGTGGTCTCCTGAACAGAAGTCAGTCTCTAAAAATAAAACTAGCAGTAAGATTACTTGCTGCAGGTAAGTTTTAAGGATTGCCTGTGTCATTTAAGTTAGTTTCAATACAAACAATTCAAAATAATGTGCAAGCTGAAAGGAAAAAACGTTCAAGTGAAATAGTTCAGCATACCTAGTAGTGTGAGAGGCTCTCCTGCCTCCCTGTTCAGTAGCATTGTGTACTTGTGCTGCTTTGCCATTCTCAAATTAAAACACCTGTGTAGTATTTGTAATGCTCCAGTAGGAATATGGCTAATATTTATCAAAGATGAGTTGTTCTTTCTTTTGTGGTCTTCTCAGAGAGAGCTTTTTTTTATTATTATTTCTTTAATAGCAAAGGGTTTTGGGTTTTTTTTGATACTGTTTATAATTGAGTTCTTCTGAAAGTATCAGAGAAGTGTTCTGGTCTTGAGCAAGTGTCTTCTCTCTCCTGTGCAATAACAATAAAATGAAGTCAGAGGAATAATAATGAGACTTTTTGTTTGTAGAGCTGTTCATCTCCTGTGTTACTGATAATTTTAGTAGAAGGAGGTACTGCCATTAGGGGGAACCTGAAGCAAGGGTACATTAATTGTGTAAAATCATCCATTAACTACAGTAGGGACAAGAATAGAAACCAGGTCTCCTCTGCCCCAGCACCACGCAGTTCTGTCCGATCAGTGTTCTGAATGTGGCTTTTAAAACAGCCTGGTCTACTGCCAACACTGTCGTCCCCAAAAATGTATCTGTTACTTAGCACATGTTAGAAGCACTGCAAGCAGATGATAGCTTTATTTTTTTTTTATTTCTACTTTTTTAATTTCTGTGTGTATAATAAAATGTTCTTGCTGTAGTGCGTTCTGTTGCCATAAATGTGGATGTAGATGCCTAAACAAACTGTAGGATTACTGGCTGCCTCCCAGAACTCCCTCTTCGAAGTATATTTCCATCTATCCTCCCTGTTTGAGTGTGCTGTACCATCCTACCTTCCTGCTGCTTGTTTTTAGTAGTCTGTTCTTCAGTTTGTGTGTGTTTTATCAGCTGGACAAATGATGGCCAGTACCTCGCTTTGGGGATGTTCAACGGCGTTGTCAGCATCAGGAATAAAAACGGCGAAGAGAAAGTTAAAATAGAGCGTACAGGGGGTGCTTCATCTCCAATATGGTCAATTTGTTGGAATCCATCCAGGTAAATCATTTCATCCTTCCTTTTTTTCATGCTGAATAGATAATCCTTGGCTTGTTAATTGCAGAAAGGCTTGACTTTTATCCCTGCTGAATCAGATTAATGCCAAGTACCTTACCTTTTTTTAAGTGATTATGTATTGAGGTTTTGGCTTTGCTGCCAGTCTTTAACTGAATGGAGAAACTGGGAACAAGTTCCACTTAGATCTCAAGAAACACTTGTTTTTTTCTTTTGTATTGTTTTTGGGGTGGTTTTGGGGGGCAGATTCTGTTTGGACTGGGGGAGACAGAGGGGAGCCATTTTTTCCACTTCAGTTCAGAGGGAACATTGTCCCAAACATGTGAATATACAATTGTTATTGCAGTAGGTGGCAGAATTTTTGGAGTAGAGCAGGTGAACAAAAGGAGTCAGTTCACAGCTACTTAGCTGAGATGCCAGTACTGAAGTCCAGGCCTGGCAGTAGGCAGTACAGTGAGAGAGGGAGGAGAGCGTGGAGAAGAAGAGACCTCTATGGATTTCAACTTGTGAGTGAAACATCAGAGGAACATGATGTATCTACATTGTCTAGAACAGTAATTTACAGAAAGGACCAAGGCAGAGAGTATTGTGCAGGGTACAAAATCAGACATTAAAAAATGAAGAAATTCTAGATTAACAGTTGCCTGTGCGGTCTTAATTTGTTCTGCTAGCGTGTGTTCATTACGAGGCAGTTCTTCAGTATGTCACAGCATGTTGCTTTTCCCCACAGGTGTGTGCATCACGCGTTGAGCAAAGGGAGAGTGCTCACTGAACAGTTAGCTTTTCGGGAGGTTTTCTGTTTCCTTTCTGTTCAGCTTCTGGCCAGAGGCATGTTCACAGCAGAAAGTTCAGATTGCCACCTCCCTCCTTCCTAGGCAAGAACCTGTGGTGGAGGTGACTCTCATGTTTTGCTCCAAGCTGAGCAGGTCATGTCAGAGTACCAAAGCTGGCAAATTAGAGACCTGAAACCTTTCCTTGGTCTGTGCTGGTCTCACAGGAACAAGTTGATTTCCCCCCTGCCTTACACTGGTAATTGTGTTCACTCTTGCTCAGCGCTGTTGACTTTGATGTTATGGTGGCTTTGTACTACTGTAGCCAGGATCAGAATCCGGGCCCAGGTGCTTCATCTCTTGAAGGGACCGTTAGCTTCACTGTGCCCACTGCTTACACAGCTGCGTGTAAGTGATGCACCAAGCTTTGCAGTTATTCCTCTAAAGGAGACTGATCTTTCTTTTGTGTCCCCGAGCTGTATTCCTCAGTTTTAAATGGCAAGATATATCTGCTGTGCTTTCAGTTTGTGGGTTTTTAAAGCGTAATATGAAGTATATTCTGCTGTCCTATTACTTGGTTCCATTGCTCTAAGAAATTTATTAATAAATCACTGTAGAATCACTACATAATTTATATTTTTTTTTGTTAGAGATGAACGCAATGATATTTTAGCTGTGGCAGACTGGGGTCAGAAACTTTCCTTTTACCAGCTTAGTGGCAAACAGGTATGTTTTAGAAAGTGCATTCAAGAGCAGCAGGGCATTTCTGATTCTGTTTTGTGTCCTGTATTCAACGTGTTTGTATACCAGTGCTTTATTAGCTACACTGAATGTTTTCTGTTTTCCCAACCTTTTATGAGTCTGCTTTTTTTTAAACTATCTTTTCCTTCAGCTCTTGTTTCTCCCATGGCAACTCAGCTGCTGTCTTACAATTCTTGTATTAAAACCCTTACAACTTTGCTGGCTTTTGTGATATGGTTTACTGGTCTGTAAAGGACATCTTTGTATTTTTTCAACCAGTTAACAGGAGGTTTTGTGAATTGCTTGCATTCCAAGTGGACTGGTTTGGGACTGGAGGGATTCTTGGATGTATTTTAGAACTGCCTTTGGGAATCTTAATATAGTCCGTGGTTCTGGGGTATTGAAAAGTTGTGCATGGCCAGAGAGATGAGAAGAATGGTATCAGTAGCAGCACTTGTTGCTTTGGGAAAACATGAAATGATCCTTTTGTTAAAGTGTTTTATTTTTTTTTATTTTCCCGTGTAGATTGGGAAGGACAGAATGCTCAATTTTGATCCCTGCTGTGTTAGCTATTTTACTAAAGGAGAATATATTTTACTGGGAGGTTCAGATAAACAAGTTTCCCTCTTCACAAAGGACGGCGTGCGTCTTGGTACCATAGGAGAGCAAAGCAGTTGGGTGTGGACGTGCAAAGTTAAACCAGACTCCAACTATGTGGTGAGTAGGAACATTTCTCTGACACTTTCACAGACAGTTTGTCATATAAGGTAAGGCCATAGATTTCAAACTCAGTTGCTTAGTCTAGACATTCATACTGAGGCAGCAGAACCTAAGCAGTGTCTAGTGAGGTCCTACAACTACCACCGAGATTTTTAATCTCCTGCAGAAGTCAAACTTGGGCTGCAAGACTGCCCTAAATGAGCAGAACACCTGTTTACAGAGGGTAAGGCGTTTGCTGCAAACTTGGGCTGCAAGACTGCCCTAAATGAGCATAACACCTGTTTGCAGAGGGTAAGGCGTTTGCTGCGTTTGATTAAAAAAGAGGAGGGAAAAGAAGAAAAAATGGCAGCTAATAACTTTTAGGTTGACCAAATCCAATTTCATGATGGGAAGAAAACATTCAGATCTGAATTTCTTGCATTGCACCTTGTGGAAGATGCCTACAAGGCAACTGGTAGCCCTGAACACTGCACTCTGTGTCGTGCAAATGTGAAGACAGAGAGAGAGAGAATTTAAAAACACCCTGCCCCGCCAAAAAAAAAAAAAAAAAAAAAAAAAAAAAAAAGAAAAGAAAAAACCAAAGCAGCAACAACAAAACAAACCCCCAAAGCAGACCCCAGCCCGCCGTGCCCCGTGGGGCGGTCTGTGATGAGATCAGGCCTCATTTTGCATTGTGCTGTTACCACTGTTCAAGTGCACGTAGGCTGTAACTGGTGTCAATCTATACGTTATGCAGGAAAAGGAACATGATGTTCATATAGCTACTAGACATTTTGCCAAGTCTCACCTACGTGCACCAATTAACAAAATTATTTTTGTCCCGTGTTCAGGCAGTAGGATGCCAGGATGGAACAATATCCTTTTATCAGTTGATTTTCAGCACTGTGCATGGCCTTTACAAAGATCGCTACGCTTACAGAGACAGCATGACCGATGTTATTGTCCAGCACCTCATCACTGAACAAAAAGGTAATTTCGCACTTGCAGTCAGGCCAAAGCTTCACTCTCACTCTGGTTTGTTTTGTTTTGTTTTGTTTTTAATATCCATCAGAACACTTGGGATATGCGCTGCATGTATTAGACAGATTGTTGTCGCTTTGACAGTAAAACTGAGGAATACTGTTTGCAGGATGAGTGCAAACTTGGATTCTGGAGGATCAGCACTGAGAAGCTTAGTGAAGGATGTGGGGATTTGAAAGGACATGGGGAGGGGCAGAGGCTTTCAAGATAAGGTTTTAATCTCTGCGAATGAGATAAAGATACTGTACATCATATTTAGCGCTTTTTTTTCCTTACTTGCAGCCACATAGGTTTGTGCTGATTTTCCTTCTTCATATCCACTGACTTTTTGTGGCAAGGCATCAAAGTATTGCTCCAGAATGTGCCGTTGACAAATAATAGAGAGTGATAAATTGTGATGGAGATAGTAGATTATGGAGATGAAGAACAACAAACATATCTGAGCAGGAATCTGCTTTTAATTTTAGAGGTGCTTTAGAAAGTTTCAATTTTAATGTGTTGTTAGTAAGTCTTCTGATTTCTGTGTCCGTTATTTTCATGTCAGCCTGTACTGTGTTGGTTTTGTGTTTTTTCTCTCTAGTTAGAATAAAAGGCAGAGAGCTTGTAAAGAAAATTGCAATCTACAAAAACAGATTAGCAATCCAGATGCCAGAGAAAATCTTGATTTATGAGTTATACTCGGATGATTCTTCAGATATGTATTATCGAGTGAAGGAAAAGATAGTAAAAAAATTTGAATGCAACTTGCTGGTTGTATGTTCAGATCACATTATTTTATGCCAGGTATGTGCCTTAAAATCTAGAGTAGTTTTGGGGTACGCTCAGGCTTTAAGGCTATCGAAATAGCTGGTAGGAGAAGGTCGTGCTGTATAATGTTTTTCCCCAGGGTACCAGGGTGTAGTGCTGTTGTATGGCAGTGCTGCACTTTGCTTCTGATCAACAGCTGTGGCTTGCCACGGATGGCTCAATTTCGGTAAAACAGTCTCTGCAGTGAATTTGGTACATTAGCACGTAATCCAGGGCAACTTTTGGGTGGGGGTAAACCACCAGAAAAAGGTGGTAGGGGGGTTGTTTTTGTTTGTTTGTTCATAGCATTGGAAAACCTTAAAGATTTCATTCTGCCAAATTGACTATTTGACTTACTGATTTTTATATGTAAAAGTAGGCATGCATGCCAGTGTGGGTATAAACACAGCACATCAAAGACACAGGGCTTTTATCTTTACCTTCAGGCAGTATTTTGTGTGTTATTGTGTCTTTAGGAGAAAAGATTGCAGTGCCTCTCCTTTAGTGGCATTAAAGAACGAGAATGGCTGATGGAATCTCTTATTCGTTACATTAAAGTAATTGGGGGACCTCCAGGAAGAGAAGGCCTCTTAGTTGGCCTGAAGAACGGTCAGGTAACACAAAATGTCTGGTGTGTGTCTTTTCGCTGCAAATAAATTCTGGGTTATGGTCTTAGGGGGAGGCTTGAGGAGCATCATGTACTTTTACAACCTGGAGTTTTATCTGACAGAGTCTCCTTATGATTAAAACCTAATTACTTTGCATTCTCTGGCTGTAAAATTAAACTAAACATGTTTAACTTTGTCTAATGTCCACAAGTTGTTAGGAACAACTGACAAAAATGGAGTTCTTGGTGAACTGAGAGAATGTTTTTCTTTATTGGGGTTTCAGGGGGGGGTGTACACTTCTCCTGATGACCACTTGTGACAGCGTGGGTGTTCTGGAGATGAAATGGCTGTCTAGTTCACCATCCGGTTAGCAGCAAAAAATTTCAAACTATTGATGTAGAGAACAAGAATAGAGAGGAGGTTGATACCCTCTGTGTCTTCTGTATCTATGCTGTATCTTCCTGTAGTATTCTATTAATGTAATTGTTTAACTAGCGGACCATTAAAGAAACCTAGCATGTATATAGCATATGTTTTATTTGTATAGACTTGCAGCCTAGAGTATGTTGTGGAAACAATTTTCCAGATACCTCAAGCTGAAAGCGTTTCGTTAATTTTGATGCCCAGTTTTATTTCTGAACAAAATGGCAATTGCGTGCTGTAAACAGCATTAAAGTTGGCACCTGCTGTGCTGTTTCTAGTTCTAGGCACAGAAACGGGTGGACTGACTTTGGTTTCCCATATGTCTAGATTCTGAAGATATTTGTGGATAATGCCTTTGCCATCGTCCTGTTGAAGCAGTCCACAGCGGTGCGCTGCCTGGATATGAGCGCGTCCCGAAACAAGCTGGCGGTGGTCGATGAAAACGATACCTGCCTAGTGTATGATATTCACACCAAAGAGTTGTTGTTTCAGGTAAAATCCAAAGTCTTTAAAAAAAGAAAATAAGGGGAGCAGGAAGTGGTTTGGAGCACAGAACGTACCAAGTGTTGCTGCAGAAATTCATATAACTGTCATTTAGGCCATTAATCATATTTTGTAGGATTTAACCGTGATCTGTTCCTCCACTGAAACTACCATTTTAGAGATGGCAGGAGAGGAGTGAGAAGGCAGGAGCTATATGTGAGCAACAGCTGAATAAAGAGGACTAAACATGTGCCATTTTCTGTTTAATTTAGAAGTCAGTCCTCGTTGCCTTTGAAGCCTGACAGTGAAGGAGCTTCGAGCATTAGCATTAGTATGAACAGAATTAAAGCCTGAACTTCTTTGTTCGCCGTGTATTTCCAGACTATGAAATGCATAGTGATAATTCTCTCTTCATTGGCAGTTTAGCAGCCACTCTAAGGGCTCCTCGTTAATGTTGAAATGTTTTCAGAGAACACTGGGTGGAAAATATGAAGGGCACGAAGATAGGGCCTGTAACTGTCTCTTTGTTACGGGCAGAAATGATCAGTTCGATGTGCTGTCTGACTAACAGTAGATTATTGTGGAATTTTGTATTGTCTTCTACAGTTTGACAGTATAGATCATCAGTAAGTACAAAAAAGGAAGACAATTACAGCTGTTTATTACAATGTAAAATATGTTCCTTTAAATCTCTTTAGGAATGTACTGGGCTTCAGAATGTTACAAACACAGATACAGACACCCAGGCTGTAACAGGTCAAACGATCTAGCTGAAGGATGCGTGTTTCTTAGGAAAGATGATGTGATTGCACCTGTTGTACTCATGAGTTACTTTGCTTGTTAGGAGCCCAATGCTAATAGTGTGGCCTGGAATACACAGTGTGAGGATATGCTTTGCTTTTCTGGAGGGGGCTACCTCAATATCAAAGCTAGTAACTTCCCTGTCCATCAACAAAAACTTCAAGGCTTTGTGGTGGGTTACAACGGCTCCAAGATCTTCTGTCTTCATGTTTTTTCTATGTCAGCTGTCGAAGTTCCGCAGGTAATCCTTTAATCTCATTAAGTGTTGCTTTACATTTCATAAACATCAGTGTTTAAGAAGCGAAGAAGCTCTTCTGAGATTTACCCATATTCCATTACCAAAATGATTGCAGTTCACACTTTCTTCATCATTATTTAAGTTATATTGCATCATCTATTTTATTTTTATTTGCCATTAATTAATCTAGCTGCCTTTTTGCTGTTGCTGATTGTTGTTTCTAATTCTCCCTTTCTACTTGCAAATGCACATAATCTAAAAGCAAAGATTACAATATGGTGTAGGTACTAACCTCTTCCCGTATTTTTGCTGTAGCCTACGTGCCTTTTCTCAAGTTGTAATTTCAGTTTTCTTATGAGTACATCGAATACTATCTTATTGTTACTTAATCGAGGTGTGTTTAGGCAATATTTAAGCTGTATCTTTTAGTCTGAATGTGTAGTACACGTGCAGTCTTAATATTCTAAATTTAGAGATTGCCTTCCACAAAACGCTATTTTCTGCGTTACGGGAAGCAATGGACGAGTCTAAAATGGCCCAAGAAACAAAACAAAAAAGGGAAAAGAAAACAAATCATCTTCTGATTTATGCATCTAAATGTGGCCAGGACTTGAAACTGAGAGTCAATGAAGAAGGCAGAAGGGCCATGTACTTCTGTGGCCTACTGGAGATGTGTGTTCCAGCCCCTGCCTGTCCCTCCGAGGCACTGTGCAGATCCTTAACTGGGCTCTGGGTTGTCCGGGGTGGTTGACTGCCACAAGGTCGACTGGGACCAGTGCACTCTGGCTTTGAGAGGCCGTAGGCGCCGAGCGCCACAGAATGACTGTAAAGTGTCACAGAGGCAGCTTGTTCAGAGCCACACTTTTGGTGAGAGGGAGAACCAAAACGTGCACAATTCTCAGATACATTGATAAAAATAACGTAGAAATCAGTCTGCACACTGCCTTGGTTGCAAACCCGGAGTAAAGGTAACGTAACGTAGCCGCAGAGCCCCCTGCTCGTTGAAGGGCTTCGAGCTGTAGCTGCAGCTGCTGAGCCTCAGTCCGTCTGTGCCAGCCTGCAGTTGGCACTTTCTCTCCTTAATTCCCTCTTAGGGCAGGTGCTTCAGGTCAGTGTCTTTTGGGCTTAATGGTCTCAGTCGTGGTAAACCAGCTTTGTTTCAGGCTTGGCGCAGAAGGGCTACTTCCTCCTGGTACCTCTTCCTGTTGTGTTTGAGTGTTTCCAGGGATGCTTCATACTGGGTGGTTGTGCCACTTGTAATGCTTTGAGCACGAACTATCCCCTCCTTCGCTCTGCTTCCATAGTATTAAAAAAATCCCAGAACACCCCATTGGCTCGTTGTACGTAATATTTAGTATGTTCGGTGCTCAGAAAACCCACATTCTTAACTAGTTCCTAATATGCAGGGCACTGAAGGTTTCAAGATGGATGAGTTTAGAATATAATTAACCCAGCTTGTCTAGAGACACAATAATAATCACCCCAGAATGTCGTTCTGTCTGTCGTACAAAAACCGTATGTTTACTCTGTGTGGAGCTTGTAATGGTTGTCATTGCAATATTTTTTTTCCCCCAATGTATGTAGAGAATTTCACTGATATATCTCAGTATTATGCTTTCTAATACATATTTTTCCATGGAAATCCTCAGTCTGCACCCATGTATCAATATCTGGAACGAAAAATGTTTAAAGAAGCCTATCAAATTGCATGCTTGGGAGTAACTGATACTGACTGGAAAGAACTGGCCATGGAAGCCTTAGAAGGGCTGGAATTTGAAACTGCTAAAAAGGTAAAGCTGTTATTTACGTATTTAGCAGAAAGCTTGTTGTATTTTCATAATTATATATATATCTGCTCCGTGGTGCTGACCACTGGGTGGCAGCACAGGATGCCCGACCGGGCTCCTTTCATTTCCCCTTCTCAACCCTATAAACTTACTGTTTTCTCCCCGAAGTATATCGTATAACCTCGGTTCAAATACGGAGGTTTCATATTCCTTGTTATTTACACACGAGTGTTCTTTGAAGGCAATGGTGATGGGATGTCACCGTTGTCATTTTCCATCTGGAATGCCTTGGTTTGGGGAGTGGTCTGCAAATGGGCATATACTGCAGAGCGGAGTTTTCTCTGGCATAGAATACTTCCCTGTTTTCTTTCACCACCTTTTCTCAAACAAGAGAGGGCGAACTGAGTTCAGTGTAATGAATATTGTATGAGAGACAAAACATTCTAAAAATATGCAGGGGATGATCTGTAACGATGGGCATCTTTTAATAACAGATTTTTGTAAAAGGAAATTAAATGCTTTATTTTTCCTTGCTTCTTAAGTGGAGGCATCAGAATAATTCCAGTTTCGTAGCTGGCTTTATGCAAATAGATATTCTTAAAAGGAAGTTTTCAGTGCCTCCTTGGAATTTTAAAGTGGTGCCCTTCTAGAATTAGAGCGGATTAATTTGAACAAAAGCAGCTTCTTGACATGAAAGGCTCTCATGGTTCCTAGTTCAATCTGGTGTAAGCAGAATATTGTATGCCCTCTTAAGCATTAGTTTGGTTAGAAGTCTCGAACGTGCGGTCTAAAGAGTTAAATTTCTGGGTTTTGATGCATGTCAAGAAGAAGTGCTAAGCTGCTGTAACTTGCACGTGACTTTGCCACTTGAGACTTCGGGCTGCACATTTATCTCCATTTGCAAAAGATATTACACTGTCTTGCAGCACTTTTATCTTATCGGCTCCTTACTTCCTTTCTCTCCCTGAGTTACTTCCATGCCGGATTTTCAGAATGTTATAAAAACTGTAAGCATGTGCAGTGTGCCGTGGCAATGCGATCAATTGTGTGTTCTACCTTGCAATAATTTCCTTAAATTTCCTTGTCTGTCATGCCTCACACCAAAATGGAAAAGCTATAAAATAGCCGGAATAAAAGCGTGTAACATGTAAAATGGCATTTTGTATTTCCTGGGGACTGACACCCACCCACCCACCAGTCCCTGCCTTTGCTGTTGGTTCCCAGAGATAAGCTGGAAGGATTGGACCCTTGTCTTACTGCAGTGCCTCAGAGGCCCCAGTTGTGGTCTGTGTCTGTGAGCTGGGGACTGCACAGGCACAAACCCAGCTTGCTTCTGTCTCTGCTGTTTGCATGGAGACAGCTGGATTTGTGCGTAACAATATTCTGTTGATTTTTGTGGCTTTCCAAGTTAATTCTTTTTATTCTTTGTTTCGTTTCAATAGGCATTTACCAGGGTACGAGACCTTAGATATTTAGAATTGATCAGCAGCATAGAGGTAAGAGAGTGTTAAAGACAGTGTGTTTTCTCACGTTTAGCGCTGTGCCAAAATCACCACTTTGTGTTTTGGAGGGGTTTGTTCCGACGGTGCCTCTGACTGCTGGAGCTGTGTGTGGAGTGAGAAATCACGACTAGCCAAGGTCACGCAAATTCCAGTCATAGGACTGGAACTTCATGAAAAGAAATGGGCGTGTGGGACAAGGAGAACTCCTGAAACTGGCTTCAGGAAAACTAGAAAATGTTCAATATTCAATTAATAATTGGTGGAATACTACTGTGCTAAGAGCTTAGTACAGAGTCCTTCATAAACATGAGTTAATTAAGCCTTTCCTTACCCCCTGGAGGGAGGTAATTACTATTATCTCCTCTTCGCAGGACCAGAAACGGGCCCAGAGAAATGACATGACAAACTCAGGGTCTCATGACAAGTCTGTGACAACTGGAAATGGAATTTGGGATTCCTTACTTCCGTACTGTGCTCTAATCACTAGTTCTTACTCTTTTCACACGTCTTGGTAGCCTTTCACTAGGCAATGACTGTCTGTGGTGAGCACGTTAAAGACATGCTCTCGCCATTGTCCTTCGAGAAAGACTGCGTGGTGACGCTGGGCGAGGGTCTGTGTTGAGGGGCCGTAAATGGAGTTCCTCTTTCTCACCTTAATTAGATTTACCCCTTCTTGGCAAGAACGTGTTCCGTGTCTCCCGTTTCCACAGAGCTGTCCTGGTTCTGTCAAAGCGCCAGGTGGTTGCAGGCAGCTTTTCTAGGAGTCTCACCTGGGACAAAGTTCTGCGCTAGGAATCCCTCTTTTTTTCTTTTTTCTTTTCTTTTAAAGGGTAGATGGGTAGATGAGAGTGTTCTCTCACCACTACTGATCTTTCTTTTCCACATATGCTTCTCTGCATCTTTGTCTATTGAGGATGTTCTGGAATTGTCATGTTATATTCTGTTTAATGAGAAAGATTCCCTGTGTAAATGGACATAAACTTACTTCCAGACTTCTGGAAAACGCTCCCTCTGAAGTGACCGTTCTGCATCGTTGCTTGCTCTTGCTTGCGGTGTATTGGGTTCCTTTTACGGCTTGTAGAGGTGTAACTAAGCACATGTGTTCCTTTAATATGGTGTTTTTTTCTCAGTAATTACACTTTTTTTTTCCTGTTTGATCACAGCAGGAAACATAACTGCCAGATAACTATACCTGGAAAGATTTGGTGAAGTCTTTAAAAATGGTGTAACAGTTCTTTGATTGTTCTTTTAACCAGGTCTTTAAAGGGACCTTTCAACACCAGTCCAGTATCAGCTTGGTCAATAAATGTGACCAGAGGAGTGATGGCTGAGTCTCCTTTGGCAGTAGAGAATTGAATTTGTATGCTCATGGAATGCTTTTCCCTCCCTTCATGACGTTTTCTTTAAATTCAATTCATGTCTTTATGTTTCCATACGAGGTGGGCTGATAGTAGTAGTAATTTTATCCAAAGCAGGATAGTGTTGTGTTTCCAAGAAACAGGATAATAGACATGAAAACACACACACGTACACCTGTGTGTGCACGTGTGGCGTTGGTGCGTTGCAGTCAGGGTACCCCTGTGGCTCTGAGTCACATAAAGGGTTTCCCTGTGGCACTGCACGCACTTGGCCTGGATGGTCCCTTCCCACACAGAGCGAGCCGCTCGGAGCCGCAGGGCAGTACGTGCAGGTGGTGGGGAAGGGGTGGCTGCCGACCTGCAATCAGGAGCTTTGCAAGTGGGGACGGTGGTGGTGACACTGGTTTTTGTAAAGAGGCAGGGTAACATACTTTATGAATCTGCTTATTGCTAGCAATTATTTTCGTGTTTGTCGCCTCCCCGTGCACATATTGTTAATTTGGCCAAATTATATCCTAGTGAGTTATTAGGCACCCATCAAATGCCTTTTTTAAAATAGCAGAGCATAATGATAGTGTGTGTTCGTTTTCTTGTGTGAAATCAAGAGAAGTGATTTTTCATCACTTTGGTTTGTGTAGTGACATTTAATTTTGCTCTTCCTAATGTTAATTAAAAAGGGATTTAATCTTTTAATTATAAATTCACCAGAAATGTAGGAGAGGCATAATTATTATACCCTGTTACAGGTTTTTATTAACAGTTAAAACCTAAGCCTGAAAACCTAATTCTTCAATGGCTGTTTCTTACCCAGGTCCTGATCATTTAGAATACGTTCTACATCTCTCTCCGGGTTTTTTTCCAGGAGCGGAAGAAGCATGGAGAGAACAACAATGAACTGTTCCTAGCAGATGTCTATGCCTACCAGGGAAAATTCCACGAGGCAGCAAAGTTGTACAAAAAGAGTGGCCATGAAAGCCTGGCTCTGGACATGTACTCTGACCTACGCATGTTTGACTACGCAAAGGTACGAGTTGGCAACTGGATGTTTAAATACCGAAATATCAATGTGTCTGTTTTCAGAGTATGATCCTACAAAAGGATTGGATGAAAGGTGGGCTTTGAATTCCCACTTCATTTTCTCAGTTAATTGATTGAAGTTTTTTGGGTTGTAAGGGGAAGAACAGCCATATTCTTGATGCAGCGGTAGCCTTTGCTCAGAGTCTGCTACTGGGGCAGGAGATTGTTTTGTGTAGTCTAAAATGTGTCCCTGGAATTCATAGCTTTTCAGTGGATTTTTCTGGTGGACAGTACCAAAGGTGACTTTTTCATTGTGATTATATAGTATTATCCATAGTAATTTTCCTTTTTCAGAAAACTGGAGATCTCATTTTTGTGACTTTTTCCCCATTATCTCACTCACAAGTCCCTTTTTCTTTTTTTGTCTTCCAAAGATAGTAAGGTAGTACATATGCAAAGTGGAGGTGAGTGTACTGTGCATTTAATTCATATCTGTATTACAATAAAAATATTTTTCTTTCAGAGTTTGAACTTAAATAGTTAGTTCTATATTAATGTATTTTATAAAGTGTATAATATACTAACCTAGTATATTTTTGTTTACTAGAGAATTTTCTTCCAAAGATTCAATAATGTCCTGACTGCTTTTTTTAAAAAAAAATATGTAGAAATAAATTGAATACGGTTTTAAAAAGTGATGTTTTTATATGTTGATAAGAAAGCATTACTTGGCTTTTAAGTCTTCTGTGGGGTTTTCTTATCAAAATCCCTGAGAATGCATGCTCTGCTCAGACTCATTCATCACTCATCAGAGCCTTGTTCTGCCCAGGACAGGACAGAGACTTTGCCATGACATGCTTATGAGCTGGTTTAGCATAGATTCCACAAACCGTGCTACAGAGAGAGCTTTTTCTTCCAAGAGCTTAATATAAATACTTGGAGGCTTTGCTGATGTAAGTCCGACTTCCCCTATTTTTGGCTGATGAGTCTTTGTTAGCTTCAGTGTTTTGGCTCCTCTTGAACATAAATGTAATTCATAGATGAAAATTTTCCCATAAGTCTCCATAAGAATCTTTTAATTCTTGGCTGTAGTCATGTCTATATTTAACTAGCAGAGAGCAAAAGGTCTTGTGTCTCCTATCCTGGAGAGTAACTCCATGCAGAGGAAATTAAAGGTACTTGTTAGGAAGCTTCTTGTGCAGGGAGTGCACAATACGTGGAAGGATGCGTAAAAACCCCTTGTTTGCCAGTTATTTTTCCAATAAAAGACGTATGGGGGCTGTTTTTGTGGTGGTGTTTGTTGGTGGTGGTTTTTGATGTTGCCAGAATTGTGCAAAGGGACCCTGACAGAGTCTGGTTTCTTGTATTTGTGCTTGACTTCGATGAGCTCTGGCTGGGGTCCAGACTGGAGGCAGAGGTCAGGAAGTCCTTTGATACGTGGTCATGGGCTCGTTATCACGGTACCAGATCACAAATCAGTGAGAACTCACAAAAAGCTCTTTATACTATAAGAAGCTGAGCTTTGGATTGTGAACTTATTTGGGTGACCTAAGCTGGAAAACAAGTTGCGCGAAAGATAATGTTCAGCCCGATCCTTCCGCTTCATTTTCTCATATTCAGAGATTATCACGACACCTTCGTAGTTATTCACCTGACGGGGGCTGCGTTGCAGTGGGTGACGCTAGAGCTGACCCTGCGTGGATGACCATGAGATGGGGCATAGTTCTGTACCTGTGTGAGGGAAACTGGCTGTGTCAGGGAAACTGGTGAGCTGTGGTGGTGGAACAGCTCTGTTGTGCAGGTGCTTTTTGTGAGGGTTGTTTGCTTGTTCGTTGTTTTGGTTTGGTTTTTTAAACCTGAGTCAGAATTTACCAGAAACACAGCATAAGGTAATTTTCCACTTTCTTCTCACCTTTCCATTTTTCCTCTGTTCTAATTTTTCATTTGATAGAAGCCATGTTAATGGACAGTAGCCTGTTAACGGAGAAAATTGCCCTTAATTGATCTTCTGGTGTTGAAATACTTTTTTTTTTTTTTTTTTTTTCCCCTGGCACATGATGTCAACAGATGTGAACTGTATGGTGCCAGGGCTTTGGTATTGGCAGAAGAAGCCGAACAAACTATTAGAATTATTTCCAAATGGTCATCGTCACAGCATCCAGGCTTGATGTTTGCATTCCTTGCAAAAGCCCAGCCAGTTCAGAGTCGCTCTCACTTTTGGACAGCTGTCATTCCTCCTTATAAAAGAACTTCTTTGATGTGTTGTAATATAATTATCAACTGTCTTTGCAGAAAATGAAATTTCAGCCTTTAATTGATTTGTGGCCGGGCATCCTGATGTGAACATGATTAAGTGGGTGTACTATCCTTACCTAAACACGGAGTGAGGCTGGGTCATCTTTGAGAATTAAACCCTACCCTCTTGGCTTGCAAAAGAAAATCTGAAACTTGGAATCGATCAATTACAGTTTTTGAGATTAGTACTATTTTCCTGTTCTGTGTTCCTGAAAAGCATGCAGAAATCATAATTCGTATCCACTTAAACAGCCTCAACAGAGAGCAAGCGTTTCAAGAAATCTAGTGGGGACATACTTACTACCTCTGAGGTATCTGTGTCGTCCTTCTCCTGGCCCTCCCAGAATCTCCCACTTTGGGGTTTTTTGTTTGCGTGGGTTTTTTTTTGTTGATTGGTTTTTAGCTGAAAACTATCTAAATAGGAGACTTTCCATTGTTTCTTACCAAACATGGGGCCTTGATTATTAGTTACTGAAGGCTGGATCTGTTCATGTTGCTCTGTATGCAGAATTCCTTTTCTTAGGAAGCATAACGATATTCATTAAAAACACCTTTATCTATTTTAGAATTTGGCCTGTAACAATATTTGTGGCCAGAAGGTAATGCAAACTTTTGTATTGCGCTATTTCAGGATTTTCTGGGATCTGGAGCCCCCAAAGACACAAAGATGCTAATAAAAAAACAAGCAGACTGGGCCAAGAACATCAATGAACCAAAAGCAGCAGTGGAGATGTACCTCTCTGCAGGAGAGCACATGAAGGCCATAGAGATCAGTGGGGACCATGGCTGGGTTGATATGTAGGTTTTCGTTCCATCTCAGAGAGAATATATAACAAAAACTTGAATGAGTTACTATGAATTCTGCATAATTTTAAAATAAGACACAACTTGTTTGATACGTGCCTTTGTTTATATAAAATTGAGTATTTGAAGCACATCTACAGTGAAAAATGTTTTAAAAGTTACATATGTTTGGAGGGTAGGGGCATAAATATGTTATGAAAACAAATGCAGTACAACAGTAAGGAGTATGAATGGGTTCATCTGTAGTATGAGACTGTCTTCTAAAATATGCATGCCTTAAGCTTTTCGGAGTAATCATCACAGCAGTGCTTGTATGTGATAGCCGATTTCTGTTGTAAGCTGGTGAGGATAATCATATGGTGGGTAGAGAAGACAAGTGGAACACAAATCCCTAGAAACTCTGGGGCTACTCCTGTGTCTGGTCAAATTCTCCTTGATTTGCGGTAGGTGACGTTTTGGGTTGTTTGCTGAGTTGCCATAAGATCTTGAACAGGTCACTCAGCCTTCCCTTGCCTCAGTTTTGCTGTGTGGCCAAGAGAGTAATGTTTATTCAGGAGTCTTTTGTTTGGGTCA